AACCATCATATTCTCCAGATATGGCAACATCATATTACCATCTTTCTCGTTCGCTGCAACACCATCTTAATGGGAAAACATATGCAAATGTGGAAGGTATTAAAGAGGACATCAACATGTTTTTTGCTTCAAAGCCAATTGATTTCATTAATCAGGGCATTAACAATCTGACTGTAAGATGGAAAAGCATCATCGATAAGATTGGAAACTATTTCATTTAATAAATGTTTTGTTTTGATATATAAGTTGTTCGGGTTTTTTTCAACTAACAAAAAAGAGACATTAATTTCTTGACAACCTAATAATTAATAAATGGAAATACAACTAGATTTCCGTCAGTTATTATTTTCTTTTTTTATTAATTCAGCACAACTGTTTGTTTATAATTAAGCACAAAGCTACACAACGGGCTATATGTGCTCTGCCCACCACGGGTATTGAATCCCGGTTTCTAGCGTTGTAAGTCCGCAGACATATCGCTGTGCCACTGGGGGCTTCTGCACAATAATTGACAAATATTAAATCAAAGAAATGAATCTTTAGTTATAAGGTAAGATCATTGGTCATGTTACATAACAATAAAATTAAGGTAGGGTCAATGAAATTATGGAAAGTTGACTTTCAGTGCAATGCTAGTTTTAGCCTGGTACGTGGATTACGACTTGAGTAAAAGGAAGATATGGTAAATGTATGATGAACATTATTTGTGTCATGGAGCAGGCGTGGCCTACTGATTAGTGTGCTGGGCTGTGGATTGAAAGATCCAAGGTACAAGCCGTGATATACAGATAAACATACTTCATACTGTCAGCTCTGGGGGCGATATAACCATTACAGTCAATCCTGTTATTTGAGTAGCCAAGTAGGCATTTGACTGACTGCCCTCCAAGTAGTCAGTAATTTAAACTAAATATGGTCTCTATCCTGCCCGTTTTGTTAATGCGCCGCATTAGGTAATATTCATATTGAAAATAAGAAGTTATGTTTAGTATTTGTGCTCCTAGTTAAAAATCGTCTCTTTCCGGTAGAGCATTTCAATTACAATTGGCTATTCCTTTATAGTGACGTATTAACCCTACCTACCATATACAAGCATATATATATACACAATACAAAGTATTATTAAAATAGATATTGTAATATGGAAAACACAACTATCTTTGAAATTAACTTGTAAGAAAATTTAAAGCCAATCACATTTATGAAAAAAACAGCAAAACTGCAAATAAATTAATTATTCAAGTAAAAAACAAAGAAATATACTTAAACCGGATAGAGGAAATTGTGTATTTACTTTAAGCAGAAATGATTATGTTGGTAAAGTGCTTATATTAATGTCTGAAGAAATTAAATTTAGTAAATTAAATTTTGATTTTATAAAGAAAGCAAATAAAAATTTTAGTATGCATAAACTGTGGAAGAGTTCACTCAGAAGTACAAACTTTCTTTAAAATTAAATAGTATCATTATTCAACCATATGTTCATATAGACGGTAAAAAATATATATAGTATGAAAATACATATATATGCATGTTCAATTTCACTTAAGTGTTTTTTATTACTTTAGTATGTTGCTAACTATGTTAGCTAGCTAGATAATATTTTAAAATCTAATCAGACTTACCTACAAATACTTTAAAGAGTAATCAATCAGAGATAGTAAAGTATATAGAAAAATATTTTGCACGTTCTCGACTGGTTACGTTCTATGACCCCATACAGTCACAGCACGCGCCACGAGAAGCCGTTTTACCTGGTATCCAGCGCCTTCTCAACGTTCAACAGACAACTAACTGTACACGCATTCTATATCTCGGACCTGTCTTCTAAGTGCAACGTCATCGATGACGTTTCATTTAATATCTTGCCTTGGTGTCCTATTAAGAAAACACGGTGGACTTTCATATACTCGTGGGAAACGTTCTAGAAATGACATACCTATAAGGTAACTATCAGGTCTGTCATGTAAATTCTCAGTAATTGAAATGATCAAGGAAAGTTCAAGCACTACTTTTTCATTCATGGGAACTTGTAATGAAGAATTTTAAAGATCTTATAAGTAAAAGTAGAGAAGAATGTTATAATATATGTCAACCACACTATATCTGCAATACCAGTGCCGACGAGGCATTTTGCCCACAATACCAGGGTTAATCAGGCCGACTTGGGATATGACAGAGACAGTAGCGGTTGAGATGATATTGCAATATTACTAAACAAATATTTAAAATCTATAATGTTTTTTTTTCAGCTTATTTGACAGGTTGGGACCTTCAAATCATTTGTTTGATGATTTTATATCGATGTTTGAAAGGTATACCACGCATGTACGCAGGGGTTGTTCGAGGGGGTTCTACCGAACCCCATATTTTTCTGATGTAAAAAGTTATGCTTACATAGTTATAGCGCAGCTGCTTATGTTCTTTAATGTTTTCTACGTAGTCTACATTCTTGTGATGAAGGATTAGCATATTTGCATGCTGTTTATGCTTTGCACAATATGCGTTGGCTTTTAATCTCGTAAATTAGAACCCCCTTTCAAACATTCTGCGTAAGGGCCCGTATACTTAGTGGGAATTCACGCTCCTCTTTCGTTTTACTTTCGAATCTCAGTTTTTTTTTAATAACCGGTTCCTGTAGTGGATAAACAGTTTTCTTTCAACTTGTTACAAGTGTGTATATTAAGATAAATATGTGATAATACTTTGTGTTAATATCTAAAATCAACTTGATATAAATTATTTCTTTGTGATTTCTCATAGTACATACTTTTCATTTGATATTTGAATCCTATATTAATTCACGTTTGCGTTTGTGAATTTGTTTGTTTGTTTGTAAACTCCTTCCAATGCTTTGGAGGTAGTAGAACCAAACATGGTAGGTGGACTAGGATGTTGTGTTCCGAAGGGTCTCCTTATCTATACGGCGTAGTACTCGTATGAAAGGGGGGGGGGGGACCAAGAGAGCTAAGCGCCCACAAAAGTTATCCAGGCATGATGCGGTCCAGTGTTAGGTTTTTAGGATTGCCAAGCTCGAATCTGGTATTGACTGTTGAATGTGTGTGTGTTTTTTTTTATCCCCTTGCGATTCAAGGGGTACCATGTTTGAAAATGTGTTCATACCTCTCTCCCAATCTACAGGGACTAAAAGTAGCGCGCGTACTTAAGTACGACAAACGGGTTTCCTAACGGATTTTTCTTTAGTATGAACTCCCTTAGATACCCTTATCCCCCTACCAAAGGGGTTTGAAACGTGCCAGGAAGATCACACTTGAAAGGACGTGATAGGAAAACTAGGCAGCATGTTAAAAAAATTAATTGACGTTGGATTTTTTTTAATGTGACCAGAAATTTGGAGAGGTGTTAAAAAGATATTACAATGCAGGCTTACGACGCTAAAAATCGGGCTTAGATATCAGTGGTTGGTAGAAAACACATAGCCTATTGTGTAGCTTTGCGCTTAACAACAACCAAACTTAACCTATTGTTTGTTTGTTTGTTTGAAGTTAATCACAAAGCTGCACAATGGGCTATCTGTGCTCTGCCCACCACGAGTATCGAAACCCGGTTTCTAGCGTTGTAAGTCCGCAGACATACCGCTGTGCCACTGGGGGGCCAAACTCAACGAATTTTTGAGCAAAGCTACACGAAGTCTATCTACTCAACAGTAACCACCGCTAACTCTTGGGTTATTCTTGTCTGACCAAATAGTGGGATTTGTCTGTTATTCTTATAGCCTATTCACGGCTCCAAAATGCGGAGCGCATTTTTGTGCAATGGGACGTAAACCTCGGATTCATAATCTGGGCATGCTGACCATTAGGCTACGCCTGGCCTTAAAACAAAATTAAAATTACGATCACAAAATTATAAAATCTATAAAGTCCTAAAGAAAAGAACAACATTATATTTCTGAAAGTTGTGACAGAAATGGTGAATCCTAACATTATTATTTTCAACAAAGAAAATGTGCACAATAAATGCAAAGATCATCACAGTACAAAACACACACACACACACATTTATTATTGTATTGTAATTACAAAAGTGATTACCAAGGTTTCCATTGTTATAGAATGTCACCCAAAGTACCCGACATAAAACAGCACCAATTGCATGATTAACTAAACATTTTTACCATCCAAGCTCTTATATCTTTGTTAGTTAGTCCTCATTAAGCACAATAAAAGTTTTGTATGAGTGATAAGGCCTACATGGACTAATGGCGTCAGTAAATTCATGCTTTTAGAAATAGTATTTTCACCATATGGGAATCTCAGGAAAAAACGTTCATGAATGTATCTATCCACCCAATAAAACTTCTAAATTCAAACAGATTATAATGAAATTTTTGAAACAAAACATATGAAGTTTAGTTTCTTGATATTATTACTCGAATTATTGGGTGAAATGGTATAAGCTGCCTACTCCAAAGCATCAACCATAAATACATTGAACAATCTACTACAAGGAAGTCTGCATAATTATAAATTACTTGTGCCATCTCTTTTCGGTCAATTTGAAATGACTCACGAGTAGCTGGTGTTACGATTCAACTTAAGGATTAAAGAAAAAGAAATTGGAACTCATTTGTAAAGTTGATGAAGATATAGAATACATCACACGGATATCTGCATGTCAGGCGATTACTGAAGTTGCTTCGATTGACGTTAAGGCATGTAAAAAACCTTTGCAATGATACTATGAGCACATCTAATGAAACAGTAATATGTGACGCAGCGTTCGTTTTACAGGTATACCTCACTTAACCCTTATTTGGAGAGAATCTGTAACCAGATCCAACCTCCTTTTCATACAAATATGTAACGTATATGGTAGTGCTACAAAGAATGTGCGGGTAGGAATATACATTGGACACTGGTGAACGTACAGATCTCCACGCCTGCAGAATATTATCACCGATGCCCGACAACACAGAGACCACATCCTACGACCCTTTATTCTACCACATACTAGGTACTTTTGTCCCTGACATACGTCTAATAATTGATAACGTCTGCTCCACCATGCTCAACTGACGAAGACGTTCCTTGAAGAAAAGGAGATTGAATAAATGTAGTGTCCTGCCATCTCACCAGACATCAATCCTATTGAGTGCTTACCGTGTCTTTTGAAGACTCCGAACACTAACAAGCTGAAAAAAAAACACCTCTTTCAGAGTAGGAATCGAAAATGCTCCAAAATGTTATAAACACTTTGATCATAATTGTTCAACATCAATTCCTTGCTTCTCATGGTGATCAAACTCCATACTGAACATAAACGTCATGAACTGTAAACGTATGCACCTATATACAAAATTCTAATTTACGAACGTAAACTCAGACGCAGTAATTCATATTTTTCATCACATGGTGCATCATCAGATTGCTAACGTTACATAAAAATGAAGCGAGAGAGGTGACTGACATTAGTTAAGGCAGTTATTTTGCCTTCTCGTTGCTAAAAAATATTATAAATTACAATTGTACTGGTACAGCGTGAATAATAAGAAAAAATATATGACTTGGATTTGATTCCAACAAGCACACTCCTTGTTGTTGTTGACAAGGTGAGAATGTATACCCTTAAATATATCTACCACCTGGAATCGATGAGACTGTACAGAGGGTGAATAAAGACCTAGAAGTCGATAGAGGGTGGAAAATGACCCCTATGGTAAGGTTGTCCTACGCCTAGTAGAAACAGCGCGGGTGGAGACACCGAGAAAGTGGCTTTTCTCGAATCTTCCACAGTTTATAAATTCACACAATAATGAAAAATACATATTTTAAACATAAATTTGAATCTAATTACTTGCTTTACTTTATGCTTCTTTAAAATATCAATTTGGGGGTCGATGACAACTTTATAAGTTCGTCAAGGGGTCGACAACTCCGAAAGGTTTGGGAAACCCTGCTTTAGACCCACGAAAATTTCACGATCCCGCTATATTTGTAAATGCATGAATCCATAAATAGAATTGAAAGACGTGTAAGTACTATGTGAAAATAAAATTTAGAAAAAAATATAACAAAATCCATTACGTTATGATAACAAAAGCCCCCAAGTGGCACAGCGGTATGTCTACCGACTTACAACGCTTAAAACCGGGTTTCGATACCCGTGGTGGGCAGAACACAGATAACCCTTCGTGTAGCTTTGTGCTTAACTACAAACAAACAAATATTAACAAAATAGTTTTTGAAGATTAATATATACATTTTTAACTTAAGTTACTTGATTAAAGTAAGGCCTCTTAAAATTAGTAATATTTGATATTTCGTAATTACATTGTGGATGTAAGGTCATTTTTCCTGTACCGAACAAACATGGTGTCCATATCCTTGCAGCAACAAAAATCATATCAAACCGAAAACTTATAAATAATATAAGCAGCTACAGTTGAACTAGTCACGTCCTTATTAGCTGGGAGTTAATCTTTATTCAAATATTGTGCTAAATAAAAATTGGATATGAATAAACAGGTTCCCCAGTCAATTAAAATAACCATGAACATTTTTGCAATAAGAATAATTTTAAACAGCTTTAAGATCAAGATATCAGTGTAAGTGCCATGCGACTAAGCGAAGTCCCTGGACGAATTCTTAAGCATGCCAGGACGTGGTGAAACTTGCTTTCAGTACGCTAAATAGGCATGGCATAGCCTCATGGTTATGGCGCTCTACTCGCAATCTGTGAACCACGGGTTCGAATCCTGTTACCGAGTATGCTCACC